ACTTGATTTATCTTTTAACATTTTCATAATAAAATTTTAAAAACTAAATAAAGCCTCCTATAACTTAACTATTCAAATGCAAATTATTTATCCACGTTATCTTCTATACTAACATACTCCAAGTGTTTGAGAGGAGGAGAAATAAAAAGATTGAGAAAATGTGTAAAACGAGTTGAGTTATTAGAAGATGGCTAATTAAACTTAAAAGTATTAATATGATTTTCTAAAGCAATATTTTTCTATATATTTTTTTTATAGAAAAACACTACTCCATCATATAAAAAGAGTAAATCCTAGCTATAAATATAGACACGTATATGTCCAGATTGTTTTTTTACGGAGGGGTAAGATTTAATAGTCTGTGAAGCAGATGCGAAAAACGAGGCAAATATTGTAGTTCAAATCGGAAGTGTTTCGCCATGACGTGGTAAGAGAAGAACGCCATAACATGGTCAACGGCGTGTGTGTGGCATTGCTCTACTGATATGCTAGCTATAGCTGGCAATGTGGCCGAATGATTTGTCTTTAATAAACCATATTGAATGGTTTATATACTTTAAAGTTTTGTAAAAAAAAGAAAAGTTCAAGGAATAAGAATTCTCTGCTATTGACTAGGGCAAATAAATTATACTGGGTCTTTTTTGTTTTTACAACAAACTGTGAGCAATTCAGCAATTGGGGTATGGTCACCCAAAAAAAATGCTATGGAAAAGTATTTCCTAGCCTCACATGCTTGACCAATCATTCGGATCGGTTTCTTTTTCTGTTCCAGGGGTTCATGTAAAACAGATTATTTACTGAATTATTGTCACGAGTTATCTAACTAATTATAGAGATAAATGAAATATTTTAAGAAATAAACCTAACAAATAACTTGAAACATGTAGAAGAAAATTTCTTCAGAAAATATATTTCAATGGCATAAAGCAAATAATCCAAAGTAGTTAATCTACAATTTTAACCTTGATGATCCAGATGGCTGACTTCCTTGGTTTGTGCCATGTCATTCATGATTTGCCTGAGACAGTAAATTAACGAACTATAGGCTTTGGTCCCACTATCATGTATGAAAGATTAATTTGCCATTGTTTATGGAAGGGAGGTACCATGATCCATCGATTCGTTTAACTAACAACACCAGCCTCATCATCACATCAGCTCTAATAATGGTAACCGGAAATGTCAGCAATTGGTGTAGGTGACGAACACACTGTTTCAAGAACTGTCTAGAAAACCAAACAAAAAAAACAACATCATGCACATTTTGCTGAAATTAATTTTCAAGTTGCAAAAGAGGACACTGACTAGTATTTCTTTATTATAGATCTAACAGTAGATGTACAATTTATTAATAGGGGGGATGGGCTAGATCATCTTGTGGGCTGAATAAACACCTAAAATCCACTGATAAAGTTTTTTGTACCCATATGGCCATCTGGAACTAGTTGCATGCATTTATGGCCATCTGGAACCTTTAGTATCTGGGCTTTAGCCCAAGGACAGAAGGCCCATTTGATAGAGAAATTAATCCATGGAATCTGATTCTGAATCGTGTTTTTTCTAGGAAGATAAGGTTATTGAAGGGAATATTACATTTTATTTATGGTGTGTGTACGTGGGCACATGGTTATCTAAAAAGTTAACAAAAAGTAGCACAATTTTCAAAAACCAATTGCACACTAAAAAAATAGTACTCCCCATTATACATTTCCGGTCCTTATTTCAACTCAACCAGTGAATGAAATGTTAATTCACATTTAGGAGTTTTGCTACAATTGTGAATAAACAAGAAATAATATAACATGTATACATGGACTACAACTAATTAAGGAAGATATGCATTAATGTTGGAGTTGGCCACGACCATGATCCTTGATATGAACGGGCTCCATGTGAGGGACAGGAGAGGAGACAGCCATGCCCATGTGACCATCCAGACGAGGTTGCTGTTGTTCCACCGAAAGGGATGAAAAAAAAAAGGTTGTTAAGGACAGCCTTTGTGCTCCCTCTAGAAAAAATGGAGGGCTTTTCAGTTGATAAGTTGACCATGTAGTTTAAGTTGGAAAGTGAACTTCATATCATGATAGGACCATTATTAGAGAAGTAATTAGAGTTTGATTACTAGCAAGAAAGGTGATTAGCCTAGAGTATGTGTGGTGTTGAGCCTTGAACGTAGATGAAATGGTTAATTAGGGCAATTAGATTAAGAATAAATTTTTAGTAAAGTTTTTGTTTTGGAAGTGAGTATATTAGAAAATAGGTAAAATTATTTTCACACCCTCTGTTAAGTCTAAATAAGAAAATATCGTAGGATTTTGAATGTGTAGCAATTTCTTATTGATCCGTATTTTACACACATCTAATTTGTAAAAGAAATGAATCTTGAAAAATGTTATGCAATGCAGTCTTTCCTATGAAATTATGGGGGTAAGATTATTTATATTTATAGGGGATGTGTTGGTTGGATAACTACTCCTACGTGACATGCAAGTAACTCAAAGTGGTGCTCATCATGGATTGAAATCATTCTACATGCTCTCTCCATTTTCTATAGTATATACCAAGATTTGTTCCACCTTGGTGGCTATACTAGATTACTAGTTATAGAAGATTGAGTGTGTGTTGCTTGATTATCTCTCTTATAAAAGCTGCTTCGAGCTAAACTTGTCACTGCAAATACGTGTACCTCTACGCACGTCGATAGTCCTTTGGTCCTAGGATTTGAGAAACCTGGCCATAAAAGCCAATACCATGCAAATAAAAGGGCATTTCTCTGAATTTTTTTTAACCATCTTCGTAACGAGAAAATTGTATCTTACATGTATATATCTATTACTAGTTGATACCTCGTGCTTTGCTACGGGATATGTTGATTAATGCATGTTATACATTATAGAAATGGTAAATGTATATATATTTAAATAATGTGAAAACAATATGGAGATAATGGTTTGATATTGCTTTCATATTGAGTTTTAAAAACACAACAAAATTGTAAATAATATGTCATGTTTGCATGATATTTAAAATAATTTCTAGTGTACGATGATGTGGTATACTTGTATGTGATTTAAAATACTCTGAATAATAATTGTTAGTGGGTAATGATATAGCACACTTATATTTTAAGTTTTAGAAGTTAATGTGCATCAACTTGAGTTGATAGTAAGATAGGATTGATAGCTCGAAATGAACCATTGTGTTCACTCTGATAACTAGAAATTACAAAATTAGTTAGAGAAAAAGGGAGTCTTTGCATCTTTAGATCATTGTGGATCTAGATTGTAATGTATTGATTGATCGATGATAGTATATATAAAATAGAAATTGTATTAATAGAAACATAAGCAATAGTTATTCAAAAAAAATACAACTGTAGCTATTATGCAAATTTAACTTGATTTTTGGATAATGGAACAAATAGGTAACAAAATGTACATTTGTATTTATGGAAACAGGAGCAAGAGCTGTATACCAAATTTAACTATACTTTTAATAAGATTTTAGCTATGTGCAAAATTATATGAGAAAATCCATTAGTATTTTTTTAACAAAATCTTCATTGTATATCATATATCATTTAATCTCTATATCATGCTTATGCTTACATATTTATCTGTCTTTCATTGTCTACATAATGGATTATCAACTGCAACCAAAATTTAAAATCTAGAACTTAGTTGTAGAGTTAGTTTTGGATTTTTGTATTATAGTATACTCTTTAGCCTTGAGTTTTAAAAAACTAATAATATAAATGTAAAAGGTTCACATATAAATCATTTTTGATCGCTTCGTAATTTTTTTTTTGCTTATCAAGCTATCTTCGGTGTAATTGCAGGTGTCCCAATACTTTACTTTAAAGGTAATAAAACACATAAGTATAGTTCTTCTGTAAATATTACTACTGTAAAACAAATGACATATCATTAAACAAACTCCAAAAGTAGCATCCATAAACCAAGCCAAAATGACCCACGCATTGGAGACATCTTATGGCCAACCCCTCCTACACACATGTCCATGGTCCATAATCAACGGCATAAAAAGACCCACAAACCAGCCCCATCTCCAAACCCTTTTCCCACCCTTTTGTCTCACTAACTACAGTTCCATCAATCACCTTTACAACTCGAATGATTAGCATCATTCATCAAGTGTTAACCTAACCCTCTCCTCCATGACACATGTCACTATCCTTTGACTACCACCAACACCATGCAATCCACTAGTGTGGTACTTCCCCTATTCAAAAATATTATAACTTACGATCAAATTGAACAAATCATAATAATACGAATTTAAGTATGTACTATCCTTATTTATAGTATTAGAATATATCATATCTAACATTAAGATGCTATATTTGACACGGAGGTACTCTGTTAATTCTAATTGTTATAAAATGTTACTCCCTCCGTATTTTAATGTATGACGCAGTTGACTTTGTGACAAACGTTTGACCTTTCGTCTTATTAAAAAAAATTATATAATTATCATTTATTTTATTGTGACTTGATTTATCATCAAATGTTCTTTAAACATAACATAAGTATTTTTATATTTGCATAAAAAATTTGAATAAGACGAATGGTCAAACGTTGGTTAAAAGGTTAAATGCGTCATACATTAAAATACGGAGGGAGTATATTGATTATCGAGTACTCCATTCGTCTTAAAATAAGGCTAGTACAACAAATCTGAACATGTCTCTGTCAATATTCGTGGTACAAAATATATCATATATCGTTCTTTGTTTTTTATGTGATAGATGAAGTAGTACTACATTTATCTTAAAATATAGCAACCTAAAATATGATTAAATTCATCTTAAGATTATGAATATGGACATAAGGTATGTCCACATTCATAATTCGATGAATTTTATCTTATTTTAGATTGCTGCATTTTAATACGGACGAAGTAGCTAGCAACAGCATCAGGATTAGCAGCAACCAGCGGCAAATAAGCAACGCAATCCCCCCATGAGTTGTGTCCAGTTGTCGTGCACCGCCCACCGCGTCGCGCCGCGCCGCGCCGTGGCGTGGCGTGGCGTGGCGCGGCCACAGCGCGCGCGCACACGCACGCATCGTCGCATCCGCGTTTTTAGCCCCCCCACACCTCGCCACCAGTTCGCCACCCTCTCTCTCTCTTCTCCACCACCACCTCCATCTCGCAGTCGCAGTGCCAGCTAAGGCCTTGTACAGGGCTTCGCTCCCCACACGTTTTCTTCTCCCCCTCCACATCTCCCCTCTCGCCGCCGCCGCCGCCGCATTCCGTTCAGGGACTTCTCCGCCGGCGCCATGGCTGCCGCTGCAAGGTTCTTGGCGGTCTTGCTCCTCGTTCTTGCTGTCGCGGCGGCGTCTTCCGCGGCGGCGTCGTTGGCTGGCGGCGGCGACCGCCACCTGCAGCTGGGGATGCTGTCCACCGGCGGCGAGTGCCGGGGCACGGTGGGGGAGTGCCTTGAGGGGGGAGACGTCGACGGCGAGGAGGGGGAGCTCGGGTCGGCGTCCGGCGAGGCGCACCGCCGCGTGCTCGCCGGGAGAGGGTACATCAGCTACCAGTCGCTGCGCCGCGACAGCGTGCCGTGCTCTCGCCGCGGCGCCAGCTACTACAACTGTCGCCCCGGCGCCTCCGCCAACCCCTACCACCGCGGCTGCTCCCGCATCACCCGCTGCCGCGGCTGATCTCCTCCTCCTCCTCCTCCTCCTCCTGCGCCGCCGCCGCTGGATCCGCCGGAGAAGATGGCATCGTCGTCGCCAGGTTAAAATACAAAAAAAAAGAGAGGAAAAAACAAAATAATCGAGCTGTTGTTCTTGTGTTCTTGCAGTGCCACTACTCCTACCTCTACTATTTATTACTATTAGCTACTACTATTAATTAATATATTCCTTTGTTTGATTTGCTGCTGCTAATGATGCTGCTGTTGTATTTGGGATCTTATTGTTTGTGCTTTGTAAAGTAAGAGAGATTTGTGCCCCACTATGGCTGGCTTAATTATCAAGAGATATATATTCTTTCTTATTCTTTTTTTGAATCCAGGAGTAGTCTGAGAATCAAATATTGCCTCTTCCTGCTTGGTTCACTCCTGCTGTTCTTGGTTTTGAATCATTGTGTGTTGGCTTGCTGTTCTGAAATGTGGAGAAAAATTCAAGCTTTGCCTTGGCATTGTGGTAGATGTAGATGTAGATCTGAAGCTGCAAACCATTCCTTCCATTGTTGGAGATGAAGGTTCTGTTCATTGCACAACAGCTTGTAGATCTGGCTGCCCCCTGTTGTTGTTCTGATCTGTAGTCTCTGACTCTCTAAAATGTTGTTTTTTTTAAGCAACATGGATAGATTTGTGCCTGCTGTATAACTTCATAGCACCAATGGCAAGGAAGAATAGCTCAGCTCGCAATCTTTTCCCCTTCTATGCATATGCATTGCTTGCACACCACTTGTTAGTCAACTAAATAGTAGCATGGCTGTTTGTTATAGGCTCTTGGAGTTGGAGAAAAGGTTAGCAACTTACCATGTTAATCATCTATTACTGGTCCCTTGATTTGTGTTAGGCAATGGTGGTAGTAGCCACACCTTGTTCTTTGCAGAGATATCTTCAGTCTTCTCTCCATTATGGTTTCAGGTTGTTCATGGTATTCAGCTACCAACCCAAAATAGAAGAGATGAAAGATAGCAAACCATCTACCATATCAGTGCCATGCTTATGATCCTGTGAAATGTGACAGAATGAACCATTGTTTGGACTTTGGAGTTTGGGTTGGTGTAGATGGTGACAGCATTAAACTGCTAAACCCTTTTGCTGATGAGCTGAGCACATATTTTTGTGGCCCAAAAATGTCACTACTACTACTATTAACTTTTGTTCTTGGTGAAACTGAAAGATGTGGCCAGTTGCATTGAGGATTGGGTGAGAGGAATAAGTGCCGTGTTCTTGGGGATTGATTAGAGAGAATCTTTTAATTCAGCGTGTCTCGTGGATATATATATTTTTGGTCTAAGCTAGGGAATAAATGACATGCTTGTCTGCATGTTAGGCCTCCTCCAACAAGGTGAGTCAGCTAGCTCATAAATCTCCACATCAGCTTTTATATGATGTGGAAGAGAGAGAAGATAAGGAGAGAGAGTGCACTATCTCTTCTTCAAGAGCTAAGCTCCTAAACAAAATGTGAGAGGGGTTGTGGAACCCAAAGCATTTTGAACAATGTGCTATGAGACAACCTATTAAAAAGGTAGACTTTTTACTATCTCTTATATGAGGTGGACAAGCATGAGCTAGTGGCACTAGCTCAACCATTGAAGGAGGCCTTAGTAAGCTATTAGCACTGATGATGTCTGATGAGTCCATGAAAATGGTCTTGGAAGTTGTAACAAGCATGAGATTTCTGTTGCAAGTTGCAACATTTTTAGCTGTAGTTTTGAGCTAGTAGCAGTAGTAGGCTAGTATCTTGAGTTATCCAGGTAGCAGAATATTACATGGTGAGGTCTTTTCTTTTGTTTGCACGGTCCATGTTTGAACTGATGTCTGAGGTATATGCCATGTGAGATACTAACCTGAAAAATGCTGTGATGAAATTTTTGGTTGGGTGACTCAGCCATTCTTGTTCTGCAATTCCTCTAATCTGAAATACAGTTTGGTTGAGTTAGCTTAAGTTATGGTAGGAGTAGCTTAATTAGGGGTTGTCTGGATTGGTACGCATGAAGACCAACCAAACTTGGAATAAGTTCATCTGAGGTCCCTTAACTTGTCAACGAATCCGATTTTCGTCCCTCAGCTGGAAAACCTGACACAACGGGTCCCTCAACTATTAAAACCATGCAGATTAGGTCTCTTGGTGGTTTTGAGGACGGTTTTAGCTGACGTGGCACCTATGTGGCTCTAATTTGACTCGTCTTCATCTGACGTGGTATTGACGTGGCGCTTACGTGGCAATTCGATCCGGAAAAATAATAAAACCTGTGGGACTCACATGTCAGTTTCACACGAAAATTTATTAAAAAATGGCCCCACGAAAATTTATTAAAAAATGGCCCCACATGTCAGTCCAACTCACCCCTCTTCTTCCTCCTCTCCCCCCATCTTCCCTCTCTTCATCTCTCTCTCCTCTCCTCTCCTCTCTCCAGGCGACGGAGAGGAGCTTCTCCCTGCCGGCGCCGCCACGCGTCGCCCCCTCCTCTCCTGCCGACGCTGCCGCGCGCCGCTCCCTCCTCTCCCGCCGACGCCATCGCGCGCCGCTCCCTCTTCTCCCGCCGGCGGCCATCGGGGAGAAGGGCGGCGAACGACGGCCATCGGGGAGAAGGGCTAGACGAGTTCCCTGGCCTACCGGCGAGCGCACGCAAGAGATAGATGGCCGATGGCCGCTCTTCTCCATTTCCGCCGCCGTCGTCGTCGCCGGCCGCATCTTCTCCATTTCTTGGACGACATGCTTCCACTCCTTATATTCGGCTTCCTGCAAGCAACCAAGATGAGAAGGCCAACCAAGATTTGATGTGGGATCATAGAAGCAATGGAATCGAATCGAATCGTAAATACTTGGAGGGTCTTCTTGGAGCCGTCGAGGAGCGTGCAGATGTGGGTGGCGAGGCGAGGGACAGTGTCGGCGCGCCTGGTGAGTAGAAGCGCGACGAGGAGGAACCTGGCGAGGTAGCGGAGGCGCTTGGTGGGGGTGAAGAGATGATCGGCGGCGTCGGCGAGGAAGTAGCCACGGTCGAGGACGGCGTGGTAGAAGACGCGCACGCGGGCGAAGCGCCGGTCTGCTATCCAACAGCGACCAGAACTGCTCGATCGTCCCGCCGCCGCTGCCACCTACTTGGGCTTGGGGAGGAGCTACTACTTGGTGCGGCGACGACGCTATGGCGAATCCAATGGGCCGCTGCATGCCGCTGCGGCGCTGCCTCTCTGTAGCCTGGAGAGAGGAGAGGATAGAGAGACGAAGAGAGGGGAGAAGGGGAGAGAGGAGGAAGAAGAGGAGTGAGTTGGACTGACATGTGGGGCCCACGTAGGTCCCACCATTTTTTATATTTCCTGTGTGAGACTGACATGTGGGTCCACCATTTTTTAAATTTTTTTCTGTGTGAGATTGACATGTGGGTCTCACGGGTTTTATTATTTTTCCGGATCGAATTGCCACGTAAGCGCTACGTCAATGCCACGTAATATGAAGACAGAGTCAAATTAGCCACGTAGGCGCCACGTCAGCCAAAACCGCCCTCGAAACCGCCGAGGGACCTAATCTGTAGCGGTTTTGATAGTTAAGGGACCCGTTATGTATGTTTTTCGGTTGAGGGTCGAAAATCGGATTCGTTGACAAGTTAAGGGACCTCAGATGAACTTAGGGCCTGTTCACTTTGATGCCAAAAAAACCTTACCAAATTTTGGCAATATGGTGGCAACTTGCCAAAATTTTGGTAGGATTTCTTATATAGTTACCAAAATTTGGTAGCAAACTAAACGTAGCCACTTTTTTAACAACTTCAACAAAATTTGGTAAGATTGAAAATATCATCGAAGTGAACATGCCCTTATTCCACCAAACTTTGGCATCTCTGACCAAATGTGGCCATACTTTGATTTTCTTCTGTGGGCCTCCTGGGCCCAAATTGATTGATTTCTCAGACATTACAAAACGGGCCAGAAATTCTGGTCTGCACAAAAGGGCCCAAAAATAGCCCGTTTCTTTCTTCACATGCTCCAGTAGAACTAGGAAGATAGCCTGCACATTAGCGCGGGCATGTGTCGTAGACTATATTTGAACATCTATAATATATGATTTCTCCATAAATTGTTTTCATTAGCATTGCTTTATAATTTTCTAACCTAGCTATTAGTTATTTTTATAACATGTCATATTTAATTAATCCCTACAAGCAATTATTTATAATATTTTTCATCATCTAAAAAGTAGGTAGACATATTTTGGGTTAGAAAACATGTATAGAAAATTAAGTGTAAATTCAAAAGTAAGGTGTTTTTTTAATTGAATGTAGGTTATCATTGTTTGTTGACGGATGAATTGGGTGGGATATGAGGCTCCACTAAATGCATGGGTTTATATAGTCTAATATTATTGTTTAGTTTGAGAGAGAATCCATATGTGAACATTCTATGTAGAGTGTGGGTGAGACTCCATGCAACTTAGCGTGAATAATATTGGATGAAGAAATATAGTTCTGCAATATATTATTTTGGAAGATGATGTATTATGAATACACACTTGTCTTTTAATATGAGATAAATCTAATGGCTGAAAATAATGGGTTCATCAGTTTAAAAACGCCTAGGAGGATTTATGGGGTAACATGTGGAGACTTTATATAAAAAGAAACCATCATATAAAATTGATTAGATGATATATAAAATAAAATTATAAGTGTAGCTTAAAATTATGGTCTTTTTAATATTTGTTTCTCTCTTTAGTTTAGTAGCTGAAAATAGGGAGGAGACTGGAGAAAAACGAATAACATAGAACTCGAATCAGGTATAAGAAAGGGTTCGCAGTGTAATAGTGTTATGTGCATGTGATTGGAGAGGGAGGTGGAGGGTACATTATTTTTTTTTCAATCTTTGTAAACAATCTAAGTGAGAACCTATGATTTGTTGTTTTCTCATTATAAGGATCTTTAAGACATGACATGTGGTGGCTTAAGTTTATAAAGAGAAAGGTGATCTAATAGTTAAAAATAATGGGTCATCAAATTAAGTGGAAACCAATGTATATATATATACTCCCTCTATCCATACATATTACTTTTGTCACCAAAACCAAGAAAATATTAAATCATCTTGGATGTTATAAAATCAAGGAGTAAATGCAAGCATGCAAGTATGCAACCAATGAGTATTTAGATGACTCCTTCGGTTCTAATCAAACATTTAATTTATCTCTTTATTTAAGTCTTAAATACATAAAGACTATAAATAGGAACAACTTATTTGGAAAAACTCAAATGTGAAATATGTCTAACTTTTATGGATGGAGGGAGTACTTTATTTTTTTCTTTGAATTTCAATTTTTTCAAAGTTTTAAAATATCATACGTGGTGACTTAAGAGTGCTATAGAGCATGTTTAATTGATCTTTACTATGTAAAACGATTCAAGAATATCTAATATGCGTTGTCATGTTTTTTAATGTTTTGTTGTTATTTGGTAAGGAGATTTTTTTTATTGAGGTAGATTTAATGCGTTCATCTGTTTGAATTATTTATGTCTTTAAATCCAATTTTTAAAATTATAACTTCACTGATTTAAATGAAAATTGATGAAATTATAAGTCCACCAATTTAATTGAAAATTGATGGTTAGATTTGTTTTCTTCATAATATTTTTTATAATTAAATTTTTTATTTATAAAAAAGGAAGGTGAGAGAAAGAATTATTAAAGACGGAGAAAGTGTATATATGTATACTTACATGCGTGGGGTGGTCGGAAGGGTGGGCCAGTGGGAAGAGGAGAGTTATGCCGGTGGGAGACAGGCGATGGATGTGGATTGTGGTTTTTTTAAGAAAAAAAAAAGATAAATCTAATAGTCGAAAATAGATGGTGTACCAATTTATTATAATTCCACGTGGCGGTTTAGTAGTGTTTATAGGCGTACCACGTGGTAGTATAGGAGTGTTTGTATACCTTTAGTATATAATTTCTTTTATTTTTAAATGGTAATTAGGATGACATGCCCTATAAATTATTCTTTTCCGTAGAAGTTTACCACGGTTGAATCATTAAGTATTTTAAAGACACCATGGATCTAAATTTAAATGTGTTCGCAAATTTGATGATTAAGATAAATCTAGTAGAGCTTAGCAGGATGAAAACAGGTGCACACCCTCATTTGTAGCAGACCTAATGCTAATTGCATTGATAATCCCTAGCAAGAATAGGTTAGTCTATTTGGATAACCACATTAAAGCAAGCAGCACGCACGTTGAAAACATATTCAACGTTTTGATTTCTCTGCATCTTTGTGGTTTATTATACTCCCTTCGTTCCAAAATGTTTGACGCTGTTAACTTTTTTAGTCATCTTTGACCGTTCGTCTTATTAAAAAAAGATTTAAGTAATTATTAATTCTTTTCCTATCATTTGATTCACTGTTAAATATACTTCTATGTATATATTTCATAAATTTTTTTTGAATAAGACGAACAGTCAAACATGTTTAAAAAAATCAACGTTGTCAAATATTTAGGGACAGAGTGAGTATAATTTAGTAACTTAAGATTTTATATGGGGTTGCTAGCAATAAAGTAGGAAATTCACGTACTTACCACAGAGGGAGGAGTATATATATAGAGAGAGGAGATTTCTTTTTTATTAGAAACAGATCCTTGACATATATCTAATTGTTAGAAATAATAGATTCATCGAGATATATCTAATTGTTCGAAATAATAGATTCATCGGTTTATAAGTTATAACTGATGGTCATATTTTTTTTTTCTTTTTTCTCATAATTTCAAAGATTTTTTCTAATTTATTAGAGTGTGACATGATAGCTTAGGAGAGTATGTAGGATGTCACGTGGTGACTTAAGTGCATTCGTTTAATGGACTTGTGCGTAGAATACAACTTGAAATAACATATATTTTTTTACAACTATTAGCTGAAATTATTAATTTGGTTTTTATCTCCCATGAGTGAAAAAAAGAAAAAAGAAAAGAAGGGAAGGGGGGACACGTACGTACGAAGTATATACGTACATGCACGTACACGTACGGATGGATCGATATAGAACTTGGTGCTTTCTAAATATAAATCTATTTGGTATTTTTTAGTTAGATCTAATGGTTAGAAAATATGGGTCCACCAGATTAAATGAAAATCAATGGTTAGATATTTTATTTTTTCCTAGAATTTCTCTAATTTATTAGAGCGCCACTTGACGGCCTAGGAGCATTTGTAGGGATGACATGTGGCGGCTTAAGAGCGTTTGTAGGAAGTTTAATGGACTTTTAGTATATAATAGATAGAAGATAGATAATAGATTTCTGACCACATTTTCTCTTTTCTCCACTTTGCACACTCATTTTCTCTTCTCCATGCATGGTACACGTACACGTGGCGACGGCAATGAGATCGGTGTTAGCGAGGTGGTGAGCTCACCGGAGAGCGGAGATGAAGGTTCCTCTACAGTGATTTTGCCATATATAGACACGCAGGTTTTGGGTTCCGTCTGGCAGATCCACGTGCCAGAGACAAAGTGTTATATATAGACGTGCAAGATTAGTTTCCGTTCAAAACGATCCACGTGTTGGTGACAAAGTCAAACGGTTTCGACCGATCACTAGAGGATATCCTGGTCGCGCGGACCCCCACAAATAACGTAGGGACATCACCTAATGCTTCTCTCCCCCACCCGTTTTTTCTTCCCCCTCTCCTCACCTCTCCTCTCGATCGCCTCCGCTGCCACCCTCCACCATTCTCATTCCCCCACCCCTCCCCCCTCGCGAGCCATGGCTGCCGCCGCCGCTGTAAGGTCCGTGGCGATCTCGCTCTTCGTCGTCGCCCTCGCCGTGGCAGCGTTCGCCTGGTCCCCGTCGTCGCTGGCGGGCGGCGCCAGCCACCACCTGCGGCTGGAGGAGGTGGCCAGCGCCGCCGGCGCCGGCGCGGCGGGGCATGGCAGCATGTCGGCGGCCGCCGGGAAGGACGGTGGCGCCAGCGCGGCGGCGCATGGTAGCGCGCCGGCGGCCGCCGGGATAGACAAGAACGGGTACCTCAGCTTCTTCGCCGCCATGCGCCGCGACAGCGTGCCGTGCACCCGCAAAGGCGCCAGCTACTACAACTGCGTCCCCGGCGCGCCGCCCAGCCCGTACAACCGCAGCTGCGAGCACATCACCCGCTGCCACGGCTGATCGATCACACCATCGCCCCTCCTCCTCCTCCGCCGCCGCCGCCGCCGCCGCTGCCGGTGCCGGCGCCGGCGATGATGATTCGCTTTGTTTCTTTGACGACGACGACGATGTGCACGCATATGCATATGCGTGCTAGCGTTTTGTCGATGGATCGATCGATCACCAGGTTAATTAAATAAAAATGACATGAAATAAGGTGTGTGTGTGTTTGTTCTCGTGTTGTTGCCGTGCCACTGCGTTCTCTTATTATTATCCATGTCTACTGTCTCATTGTATTAGCTACTACTGTTGTCCATTTGTTTCTTTTGATTAATTAATTTGCTGCTAATGATGCAGCTATTGTATTTGGGATTTTTGTCCCTGTAAGGTTTTGTTTGTTTAATCCCTTCTACAAGAGGATCGAGGGGGATTTGGACAGGACTTATTTCACAACTATTGTATGGTGTGGAATTATTCTCCTTCAATCCCCTCCATTCTCCTTTTCTTGAGGATTAAATGAACAAGGTCTAAATTAAGCCGATTTCATCTTGTTGCTTAATTTGCGATCGAATTCTACCCTATTTGTTTGACCGTGTTTTGTACCAGAGGTTAATCTATTATATGGGGGTAATTATACATGCATCTGGCTTTGGACAGTAGATAATTAAAAGTAAAGGGCAATATAATGCCAGCAGATGCATGAATTACACATATATAAATCAATTAGCCACTCTGTTTGTCTGATAAAAAATTTTCTATAAACTCACACAATATATAGTTTAGCACCGTAAGATATATATATTTATATTTGAGATTCACTGCGAGAAATACTTTCATAATATATAATAGGGAAACTGTTTTAATCCCTCGAGGGGATATCCCATCGTTCTTTGTATGTCCCTTAAATGGTAATAAAAAAATTTGAAAAAAATTGGGAAGGTGTATTAACATGTAATATAACACTCCACAAAAATACAAGTTCAAATTCAACTTCTACATCTCGTAACGAAAAAAACAGATTGAACCGCAGCTAGTTAACGTATATTCAGAGTCAAATTTGTTTTTTTCGTTGCGAGATGTAGAAGTTGAATTTTTACTTGCATGTTTGTGGAGTGATATATCACATATTAATACATATTCTTAAATTTTTTCAAATTTTTTTATAACCATTTGAGTGATATGCAAACAACGAGGGGATATCCCCTCGAGGGATCAAAATCCTCTTCCTATATAATACACAAGTTGTTGAACTACATGGGTAAACAGGTTTCTAAAAATCAATGGTAAAAAATAGACTTGTTTAATTTAGTACCAACCTAAAACGATAAATAGTTACAAACGAAGGGAGTAATTAATTAGCTCATTTATAGCTAAGACACCACATATGTGCAAATTATGCAGTTACATTTATTAGTTCATTTCATGCGTGCAGCCATGCTGTAGAGCAAGCGGTTCTCATATACATGTAAGCATAGGAGATTAGGAGGGGACAACTACATGTTGTATTCATCCATGGCTACACCGACTAATGCTCCCTCCGATCATTAATATATGATATTTTTTACACTAAAATTAGTGTTAAACCATCAGACGATGTTAGTGGCTCCAGACTTTAATTTGCTGCATGGACGTACGGAGCTAGCCGTGTTCATTGGGTCAGCCGATCTCGATGAAATTGCTAAATCCTCAATACGAATCAAATTTTCGATTCAAGGTTTATGGCTCCATTAAAAATGCAGAATTAAGAAAATAGAGGAATATAGAAAATCTAGGATATTGATAGAAATATAAGTATAAAATAGAGAATTATAAAATATAAGAAAAAAAAATTTAAAGAACAACCTTTTAATCGAACAGGAGGAAAAACATAAGGATTTAAAGAGAGATAAGACTCAAAAGAAACTTTCCGTAAGACTCGAACTCATGTTAAATTTCCGTTGACGCAAAATCTAAATCAATACACATAAATGCCTTATAGGTTTGCTTAAATCAGTCCTAAATTTCGATAAGGTTTAGACGTGTCAGCTAGTTTGATCCTGCAATTAACAAGGATGATAGGAAAAATTGAACCAATGAACTGATCGGCTAATACTGATATAATGTGATAGATACAGATCCGATGGTTAAAGCATACATCATGTAACATCCTAAAAATTCAAGAAAATAAAAATCACTAAAATTTCAAACTTTTTAAAACTTTTGCATCATGCTGGTTGTTATGATTGCTATTGCTTGCCAAACCGTAAATGATCACAAAGAAAGTAAAGTAAGAATCTAAAATTTAAGTAATAGATAAATTTACGAGAATATAATATTGTTAACCCTACAAATAATTACGCACAAGAAAACAAAGCCAGACAAACGGAAGATTAATTACTAATTTAAATTATGGATTAAATACTAAATACATGAACCATGTGTTGCGTGCCATGAAATCTAAATACACATGAAATGATGACCATTTATAATGGAACTCTATCTATAACATAGTTTCACTAGGAGTAATTAATGGGATATTACTAAACTATAATGGTCTATATAAAGGTAAACCAATTCACATGAAATAATGGTCATATAATTAAATTAAGCTTTATAAAATTATGTGAGGTTTGAATTAAACAATTAGATTAATATTGTGCCGAGTCTCAATTTACTATTTATAGAATAAATAGATTGAACCTATCCGTATAAAATATATTGCTATACAACTAAACTCGACCAATATGCTAATATATTAATCATGACAAGTCGTTATATTAAATTCAATATTACCCCAAAGTCTTCAAAAATATATAAGTTCACTTTAGGGCCAATAATCTAAATTAATCTAAAAAGAACTCGTTTGTGTGATAAATAAATAAATATGGGTGGTAATAATTTTGGATAAATTTTCATGAGGATTTAGTGCCTAAATTTAGTTAACATTTAACTAAATAAAATTAGAGTTTATAGGATTAAAATAGTATAGAAAATAGGCTAAAATCGGGATAAATAGGAAAAGTCACTGTTTATTACGGCATAGGTGTTCGATGTGGTCCCCTAGCCCTCCCCCCCTCCTCTCCCACCACGGCGCCCTAGCCGGCCGTGCGCCCCGCGCTGCCGCCGCCTGTCGCCATCGCCGCCTGCCGCTGCGCGCCGTCGCCATCGCCGCTGCCGCGCCGCGCGCCGTCTCGTCGCCTCGCGCCCCGCGCCCCTGCCCCGCTGAACGCCGAGCCCCGTGCCGCGCCGCGCCGTCCCGTCGCCGCGCGCCGTCCCATCGCCGCTGCTGCGCCGTCGCCGTCGCCATCCCACTGCCGCGCCGCGCGTGCCGCCGACGCCTCGAGCCCCTCCCCGCGCCGCGCGCCCATCCCGTGCCGCCGCGCCGCCCGTCGCGTCCAGCCCCGAGCCGCGCGCCACCGCTGTCGCTATCCATCGCCGTCGACGTCCCATCACCGCGCGCCCGTCGCCGTCACGCCTCGCGCCGCGCGCCCGCCGCCTCGCGCCCCACGCGCCGCGCGCCGTCGCATCGCCATGGAGCCGGCCGCCCCTCCCCCGCGCCCTATAAACCCCCTCCCCGGTCGCCCTTCCATCCCACACCACCCCCTCTCCTTCCCCTCCTTTTTCCCCCTTCCCCTCCACCGCGCCGCGCCGCCGCCTTCGTGCCGCCGCGCCGTGCGCCGTGCGCCGTAGTCGCGCCGCCCTCGCGCCATAACCGGCCGGCCGGCTTGAAGCCGAGCCGAGCCACCAGCCGCGCCCCTCCCGCCTTGTGCCACTGCCCGGTGGGCCCCGCCTGCCAGTACCCCTCCCTCTCCCCTTGTGCCGCTGACCAGTGGGGCCCGCATGTCGGCGCCGCCCCACCCCTTGCTGACGTCAGCCCTGTTGATGAATTATTGCGCAATAAATTGATTAAGGGTTTTTCTTTATTAGTAAAAACATAGATAATCTTCTAAAAATCATAACTAATTCATCCGAGCTCCGTTTAAGTCCATTCAAGTCTCAGTAAATCAAGAAAAATGTGTAGAATCCATTAAAAATGGTTTTGTTTCCTGTTTCAGTAGTCTTATAGCATGTTTTGCTTGTGTGCTTTGTTTGTCGCGTAGATTTCGGCCGTTTCGTCGATTCGTGGTTGCTCGAAGACGTTGCTGTGGTCTCATCAGTGCGAGAGCAAGGCAAGTCATACATTGCAATTGATCATATTGTACCTAATTTACAAATGTCCCGCATTTCTATTAAATATTGCATTGTTTTACAATATCATGTGGGATGGGTCCTATTACTCAGCTATATGTTGTTTCCCTTATGCCATTGATAACTTGGGTATTAAAATGACTAGATGTTGGTTTAGGAGATGCTTAGCCATGCTTAGTTCAACTAGTGCACAAAAGGGGACCACATTAAAGCATAGACTTGATTATTGGCAATAGCTTTGGATTAGTGCCACCGCAATGGTGTTGGCTAATTAAAATACACTACATGGTGGGCTGTGGGTGCATGGTTTTGCTAGACGTGCCCATGGCGATTAAGGACCGGTTCGCGGGATGCCCTGGAAGAATTTATCGTACTTACCACAAGCCAGCGTGGGCAACGGCTGGGCTTGTAGTGTAGCTTTTCTCTAGCCGACGTACCCAGGCGAGGGTGGGCGTGATGGAGTTGGGTCGGCCGGGGTGTCCGGTTGATCGGCTTCCGGATTCACCGCGGCACGAAAGGGGGGCTGCCCGTTGCCTGCTGGGGACGGGGGCGAACCCTAAGGTGTGGTGCGATCGGTTAGAGGGGGTTATGCGAAGGGTCCTGTCACGGCCTCTTTCCGGTATGTCGTGGTGGCATGTCGGCGCACGGGAACGTGTCGTGGGGCTGTGTCTTGTGGGTACAGTTGTACACCTCTGATCAGAGTAAAACTATTCGAATAGCCGTGCCCACGGTTATGGGCGGTCGACCAGATTCACCGTGATTAGTCTCACCCCTAGTTTAGCTTAATGAACTGATTAGTTCAGGTGGTGGTTTGGGCCTGTTGCAACGGGGTGTAACGTTGGACAGTGATTGGTTAATATGGATTAATTACTACAACTGTTTTACTGCTTTCAACTACTGCTTTGAAATGCCGGCTTTATGCAAAAGAACCTTTAGCCTCCCTTGGATATATCTTGCATCATACCTCCTCTTCCGGTATGACTTGCTGAGTACAGTGGGTAGTACTCAGTCTTGCTCTCTTTTCCCCCACACCAGAGTTGAAGTCCTTCTCAGTTGAAGATGTCTCGAAGAGGTTGGTTTCGTCGCTGCCGTCAAGGATGCCTGTGGAATGGAGTCGCCCGCTGCAGGAGTCAAGTCTTCAGGCTTAGCTCGCTTTTCTCTTTTTCCGTTGCATTTGTAATCTTTTATATTTTTGTAAGACGTGGATCTGTATGTCAACAATTGTCGTTTGTGTACCCTGGCTGGTCCTGGACAGGGGTTTAATACACATTCAGCTTAGAAATTCTGGTTCGTGAATTTCTGGGCGTGACACCGCCGCACCGCCGCCATCGTGCCGCCGCGCCGTGTGCTGTCGTCGTGCCGCCGTTGCCGCCGCCGTCATCGGTAAGCCGCCGCCT